GGGGCCGCGCCTGCCCAAGGCACTGGGGGAGCGGGAGCGGGGCGGACCCTGCGCAAAGTGCGGGGGCTGGGGCTGCTCACCATCACTAGGAATAAATAGAGCGCAGGGCAGGAGCCCGGCTGCACGCCCGCTGCACGCGGATCCGCCCCAGCAGGTGCTGGCCCCAGCTGCAGGGCAGGGGGCTGCGGCGCTGCCCCCTCCGTCCTCGGAGCAGGGTGCTGCAGGGCGCAGGCAGCAGCGGGTCCCAGGCTAGCGGGGATCCTAGGGCAGGGCAGGAGAAGGGGGAAGGGGCTGGTCCCCTAACAGGAGGTGCAGGAGGGAGCCAGGCCTCCTCAGCAGTCCATGCTCTCACTCTCCAACCAGGCTGCGGGGGCGTCGGTGCCAAAGTATCTGTCTCCGAAGTTACCTGAACACAAAGGCGCGAGTGAGACATTGGCACAGCAGCCCCTGCGGGCCCCCCCGCCTTTCCCCCTGAAAAGAGCCAGGGGAGCCCCCAGCCTGAACCAGTCTCCCCCTCAGGCCTAACCCCACCATTCCCAATGCAGCAGCAGGGCCCAAGGAACTGCAGGAGGACAAGGGACTCTCACCCAGGAGGGGCAGGAGTGCTGCAAGATACTGCTGTGGCACATGCCAGCAGCAGCAGGAGGGAGGGGGCTACAGGGCTAGGATGAGGGACAGAAAGGAAGCCCCAGCGTGGCTGTGGGGGGGGGAAAGCGGTGCCGGCCGTGGGCTCACCGATGCCAGGTATGATGTGGAACTCCTCACTGACGCGCTTGTCCACAGCCGTGGTGATGATGTGGACACGGGGGAAGGCGTAGGCCACAGAGTGCACCCCCATCTCTGCCATCAGCAGCGAGAGCAGAAAGATCCGGTCCTCCTGCACGTCGTGGTCCTGCGGCAGCAGACAGCCCTGAGCCCAGCCCCAGGAGGCAGCAGCTGCGGGTCCATGCCTGGGGGTGCAGGGGTCATGTACTCACCAGCAGGACGCGCACGGCCATCATGGCGGCAGCACCCGTGGACACAGTGCTGTCCATCAGGATGACGTAGTCCTCACTGATCTCCTTGGGCAGGCGCAGGTAGTGCAGCTGCGGGAAGTGCATGGGTCACGGCAGGGACCTCCCGGGCGCCCCACCCCCACAGGGCACAGGGGGCTGCAGCCACGGGGATGGGCTGGGCCCAGCAGGGCCCGCAAAGGTATCCCCACCCTGGCCGCTGCACTCACCTCAGGCTCTCCCGTGTCATGGTTGGTTTGGATGAGGATCTTGCCCAGGCGGATGTCCTTGCAGACGGCCGTGAGGGCCTGCTCCATGGTCTCCCCTGCACGCAGGATGGACACACCCGTGATCTGCGCATACAGCAAGGATGGGACACACTGCTGGTCAGCGAGGAGGGGGTACATTGCAGCCCCTGCCGCACAGCAACTACCCCCAGGCTATGCAGGGACTCAGCCCTCTGCCTTTGGCCAGCCCCAGGCTTCTCACCACCCCCTGCTGATGTGTGGACCCTTCACCAGGGCAGCCACCCCCACCAACCCAGTGCAGCCTCCCTGCCAGGGCAATGGCACTCCCGCAGTCCTGAGGGGGCAAGCCCAGGCCATTCTCCCCATGGTCCTGTGCACCCAAACTCCTCTGGAGATGTCTGCACCACCCACTCCCAGAGCATGGGGCAGGCCCTGGAGCCCAGAGGGGTATAAGTGACCGAAGGGATTTCCAGCCCTGGTCCTGGGCACTGCACGATCTGTGGGGCAGGGTGGGACAGCTATGAGGGGAGTGGGGGGCCAAGAGGAAGAGAACGCCACGTGGGCTGGCACAGCACAACCCCAGGATGGGCACAGAGCAGCCTAGCCGGCACCACCTGCTCACCCGCTGCCGATGGAAGCGCTTCCCCTCGTAGATCGTCCCCTGCGGCGTCTCCACAGTCACTGGCTGCGACAGAGAGACAAACGTCACCACGGGGTCCAGACCTACCACACCAGGGGCTGGCGTGACCCACTGATGGAGACGGCCCGGCCAGTGGGACAGGAATGTCACAGCAGAGGGCAGGGGGAAGAGGGCACAGACCTTAAGTGGCAGGAAGGAGAGGGCGTGCTCAATCAGCAGCCGCATCAGGCGCTTGGAGTAGAAGATGAATTCATCCCTGGTCGTGTCCTTGTTCCTGCAGGTTCAGAGCAGAGCAGAGCAGAACAGGGCAGGGAGTGAGAGCCGAGTCCTGCCCTTCAGCTGCGCTCATGGGAGGGCAGAGCTCCTGGCACTGCTCTGCAGGACCCTGGGAAGGGCCAGCGGAACAGGTCCTGATGAACTGGAGGGAAGAGGAGGGAGGGAGCAGGGCGCCACTTGGAAAGTCATGCAGCTCAGTCTCCCAACAGTGGGATGAGCGGCCTGACAAGCTGAGGGGCATTCACCTAATGAGGCAGGGCCGGGGCAGCCCTCCAAACCAGACCCTGATGCCAAGAGCAACAGCAAATTGGGGCACCAGTGGCAGACCAGCAGAACCTGGTCACCTCGCTTGCACGCAAGGACAGGCAGCACCAACCGGTAAGGCTGGAACATGACCTGGAGTCGCGGCCTGGGGGCGGGGCAGGTACCTGATGATTGTGTGCATGCCGCGCACCTGCGGTGTGCTCTCCAGGACACTCAGAGTCTTGGGCAGCGGCTGCCCCTGGTGGGGGGAGGCCAGGGTTGCTCTGCAGGGAGATGCCCATCAACACGAGCCAGCGCCTGCCTGCCCCCGAGCACCAGCACTAGCAGCCCCAGAGCTGGTGCCTGTCCCCATGGCTCCTTGGAGCTGGGTCCAGCACTGTCCCAGCAGAAGATACGGACAGCACCTCCTGCAGTTGCCTGTTCAGCCCCAAGACAGGGGACAGCAGACACCACCCCACGAGAGAGCTGGGGCAGGGGGTGCCACCCCCATCACAGCATGGCCTGACAGCAGCTCCCGCTGCACCAACACACAGACAGCCCAAGTCCCAGGAGGGCCAGAGCCCGGACCCCACCCAGACCAGGGAGTGGTCCCAGGGCAACAAGTGCTGTGCTGAGGCCCCCTTCACCATATCTGGCCACAATGCACTCCCACCTGCTGCATGGTTTCAGGCTGGTGCCCCAGGGCATCCAGAAATGATGCCCGTTTCCAGGCCACTGGCAGTGGCAGCCCTATCCAGATGCAGCCAGCACCCCTTGGGCTCAGGTGGGGCCTGGCTCTTGGCCTCACTGCCCTGGGGCAGCACTGGCAGCTGCCAGGCAGGGATCCTGGAAGTGCCCTATGGTCAGGGAGCTCCTCCAGCAGCAGGGAGGCCTGGCCAAGTGGTAGGAACTCAGGGAGAAGCCCAGCATAAGCAAGGCTCCATGCCTGGGGCCAGAACCCCAGCAAGGTCCACACCCCCAGCTGACTCCCAGCGTGTTACAGCGCAGCCACATGGCAGGACAGTCCCGACCCCGCAGCCACATACCTGACGGTGATTTCCCGCTGTGGTGGAGGGAACCCAGCCCGAGACAGCCACATCACCACAACACAGCAGGTAGGAAGAGAAACAGACACCCAGTCACTGAGCCTGGCCAAGTGGAGCTGCACCCCGTCCCCCAGCCCAGCTCCCAGGCATCTGCAGCAGGGCATCAGCAGAGCTGGGCATGCCAAAGAGCAGAGCTGAGACCACTAGGGTTTGGAGGAAGCTTGGCTGGGCCTGCACAGGGGATTGTGGGGCAGCACTGGTAGGGCAGGGGCTGCCAGGCAGGACCAAGGGGTGTGCGCAGAGCCACATGGGAGGAGAGCACAACAAGGGGCTGCCATGGCATTAGCTTGACTGTGAGGAGCCCAGTGAGGGGCAGGGCAGGAGGTTAGATCCTCCTAACCTAGGAGACTAGAGTGCGAGGGACAGGGCAGGCACGCTCTACAGCGGCAAGATCATAGCAGGTCCCAGGCACTCCCCAATCGCTTCCCCATGCCTAGCCCAGCCCCTCACCTTCTCCAGCTGGCTGTGCACATGCTGCACAATGAGATCCAGGGCCACAGAGTTTTCCCCACCTGGCAGGAAGGCAAAGGTGCCAGATGAGCCAGGCATCCACCTGTCCACCCCCCCCACCCTGCCCCTCCACAGAGCACAGCCCCCAAATCCTCTCCCTCTGGCCCCATGCAGCATGGCCTCACCCCGGGGCACCACGATGTCAGCCACCTGCACGGTGGGCTCGATGTACTGCTCGAAGGCCGGCTTGACAAACTTGTTGTACTGCTTAATGACGCCCACAATGTCACGCCCGCGCTCCATGATGTCACGCTGCAGCCGCCGCACCAGCCGGATATCTGAGTCTGTGTCCACAAACACCTTCATGTCCAGCAGCTAGGGGGGGAAAGGCGTGATGCCACATGGGCTCCATGCTGGGTCCAAGGGGACCTTCACATGCTCAGCCAAAGGACCACCTCCTCCACCCCCATCCCAAGTCCCAGACTCTTCCTCCCTCCTAGAAGAGCCCCGCAGCCTGGTCTCCCCCCAGAAGGGTTGTGGGGGCCAGGTCCCCACGGGTATTCATTACCTTCAGTAGCTCCTTGTTGGCAAAGGCCAAAATGCCCTCGAAGACTATGACATTAGCCCCATAGATGGTTTTCTGCGGAGAGGGAAGGGTCACAACCTGCATGCCCCCTCCCCTCGCGCACAGTCGCCTGGCTGCCTGCCAGCCCCACCCCATGCCATACCCACTCCTTGCGGCGGCTGTGTGTGGTGAAGTCGTACACCGGCACCTTGACGCTCTTGCCCTTCTTGAGCTTGCGCAGGACGCTGACCAGCAGGTCAAAGTCAAAGGCATCGGGGTGGTCGAAGTTGTACTCGCTGCAGGCGGCCAGCTCTTGCTGCTCCTTGTTCAGCACCTGCCGGAGGGGAGCAGCCAGACAGGGTGTTGGGAATAGAGGAAGCTCGAGGACATGACTCGCGATCTGTACATGAGCCTGTGGCCCAGCCCCACCGTGGCAGAGCTCAGTAGAGACGTGGCCTGCCAGCACACCCCTTCAGCTGCCCTGGTGATGCTCCAGGCAGGGCCAGGGACCCCAGCTCATGACCCAGCCCAGCTTGGGCCTCCCCTTCCCCATTCACTGTGCTGGTTCTCTGCATGGTGCTGAGAGGGGATTCAGGGCAGCCACCTCCCAAGGCCTCAGCAAAGCCAAGGGGCTCTGTGGTGGGTTCCCATCCCCCTCACCCTGCCTGGGCACAGCCCTGCTCAGTCACCTTATAGAAGGAGTCCATGGACAGCAGCACTACCCAGGGCACGTCCAGGGCTTCGATGATCTTGTTGGCCACTGTGGTTTTGCCCGATGCGCTCCCTCCACACAGGCCTGGGGAGAGAAGCCAGCCCGGAGGCAGGAGTCAGCCTGCAGGGACATGACAGCCCAGAGCCAGGACCCCCGGGGAGGGCCCACACCGAGCACGGGGACCTGAGGAGGGAGCTCAGCAAAGCGCCCGCCACCCTGCCAGTTCCCCCAGGCCTGCAGCAGCCCAGGCAGCTCCCAAGACCGCAGAGCGACTGGCAGGGATGCGCAGTGGGAGAGGGGGCTGCTGCGGCCCTGGACGCCTCCCATGCGGCGAGACGAGGGCAGGAAGGGCCCCCCCTGCCCTACCCCACCCCAGGCCCTGCAGAATGATGGACGGGGGCAGATGGCCAGGCGCTCCCAGCCCTTCTCTGCCCCGGGGCTGGGCACAGGCTGCTGGGAATGGGGCACCGTGCTGCCCTCCACCTGCGCCCCACAGCAAGGCCCAGCACCCCCAGGCAGCCTCACGGGGCAGCTCCTCCCTGCTGCAGCCAGCCCTGACCCTGAGCAGACCCCGCGCCCCAGGGCTGCACAGCGCTCCCCCACCCGCGCCCCAGTGGCGGCGAGCTCGCAGCCCGGCGCAGCGCAGCAGGGGCTGACCGATGACAAAGGCCTCGTCGAGCGGCGCGCCGGTCTCGGTGTACCAGGGCGGGCGGCCGGCCGTGGAGATGG